ACTCGTATCGCTCGTACTAAAACGTAGTCACAGGTGATGTACGAGTGCCTTTACACTGGTATCGGCCAGATGATCGCCGCCTACGCCCCCAATGCGGTGTTCGCCTCGCTCGTCAACCCGCTTGTTATCACAACCCTGGTCTCGTTCTGTGGCGTCATGGTGCCGTACAGCCAGATTGAACCATTCTGGAGATATTGGTAAGCACCACACCCATGCCTAAAAACTTATATATTGGTAGGAACTGATCTCGACTCCAGGATGTATTACATTGATCCATTCAACTATCTTATGAGTTCCCTGCTTGTGTTTACTACTTGGTCAAAGACTGTCGAATGCGATGCCCGTGAACTCGCTATATTCGACCCGCCATCCAACCAAACCTGTGGTGAATATCTTACGGCCTACCAACAAGTCATGGGCGCGGGGTCAAATCTCCTCAACCCAGAGGCGACCACCGACTGCCGTGTGTGCCAGTATACTGGAGGCGGGGACTTTCTTAAGACTCTCAATCTCAGTGAAGAGTACTTTGGCTGGAGGAATGCGGGCATCGTTGTCGTTTTTGTGATTGGTATCTATGGACTGGTATATCTAATGATGAAACTGAGGACAAAGGCTACTAAGAAGGCCGAGTCTTAGGCTACCCTGACCTTGGGGCTGCCAAGGCGTGTCTTCACGTTGTGGTGTTTTGCCTGAGTCTTTCGCCACAAATTCTGGCTCACGGCTCCTATTTGCTCACTTTTTTTCTTTTATTGATTCGTCTTATTTTATAGCATTGTTTTATAGAATGATAGACAATTGGCGAGTCGATTTTAGACCACTGGCGTTGCCATGCACTCACTGTCTTCTCTGGTCTCTTTTCTCACTCATCTCTTCTCTCTCGGTTGAATAACTCTCCAAGGAGATGCATACAAACGAACCCCAACTTGCAAATCTCAAGCGCGGTTTCTCAATCGACATAGCTTCATACTCTCAACAGGGCGTTCCTTTGCATATGTTTCTTCAATACAAGTGATGATAAGGAAAATAAGGAAAACTAAAATGATATTTCCCGCAGTCGTAAAGAAGTCGAGGTTGGGTTAGGAACTGACGACGATGATGTCGGTGCAACCAAAGCCGAGGACGACTTGGTGGAAGATACCGAGTCAGAAGCACTACACCGGCTGCCAATTTTGAGTCCATCGTTCAACGTACATGCCGACTTGTCTCCTTGGTGATTGAAGAAGGTGACTCGGCCAGTCTATTCCACCTCAATCCATGCAACTAACGAGTTATTTTCTATGCTACAAGCTTCCACGCCGAGCACAGGGTAACCTTGATAGGTGCCATTTATGATTCCGTCCAACTCTGCACGTCTGTCAGTACCTTTTTATTGAATTTCACGCCAGGTAATTGCTTACTTGAACAGTCATCTCCATCAAGTTGACCAAAGAATCCCGAATATCCCGTGCAGCCATGGTTGTCATAAGACCATATCGCTCATTGATTATCATTCATAATCAATGACCTCAAGAGTGCCGCCAAAGGATACCCGCGCGTAGGCGCTCGCCATATTTTCTTTACTCTCGGGGGAATTGAAGAACCTTTGTATTCATTGAGCGATCAGTGTGTAATAATCAGGTACAATAGCATTTCATATTTAACTGCGCGAAAACCTAACTTATTCAGTTGGAATCATTACATAATTGAAACCGGTTGAAAATAATACCAGATATATGGGTCGATACGTATGCAAGTAGCTACACATTACAGTGTGCTCACAATGAACGCGAGTCTAAATTTTCAGAGAACCAAGTTGCTCAAGGGCCTCTGTACATGGGTGAAAGACATTGAGGTGAAGGCTGAGTGAAATGGCAGGGTAGGGGTTTCTGGAGGAACACGTTAGTGCACAGGGATCGCAGATCACCAGGACAGATTTCTAACATAGAAAGATTGTGAAGAATTTTACGAAAATTTACAGTATTAATACTGACTTATAACTCATTTATCATGTTCAGCTGATACGACGTCACTACTTTCAACTCCCACGAAGGGTCAGCCGCACGCCCCCTTGAGGCCTGATAAATAAGGCCGCGAAAGCCATTTTATTTGTTTGTTTCCAAAGTTCCAACCTCTCTAGCCGTAAGTGGTATATGCTAAATGCGTCATTTTAAGTGGCTTATTATTTGCCCAATCAGCCTGAAAAAACTCCCGCAGCGCCGATTGGTCCAACTGAGAAGTCGAGAAGAAAGAATACGAGCTGGTCAACGTAGGTCTGGTCAGCATAGGCGCAACGACTCAATCTGATCTCTGGGAGGGGTCGCAAATTCCCCTGACATCCTTGACAAACCAACCCCAGCTGCGAAAATGACAATTTTTATCACCCTGGGCAGAGCAAGTGTGACGCTCGTCTTGGCGGGTGTCATCGCGTCTATCTATCGAGTATGGCAAGTCCGTCGTCTATTCCGGAATGCGGCTAGACAACATGGAGTGGTGTGTAAAGTCCCCTGAATTGGCAGTTGATCAATACCCTTACAATTCTCACAGCCAATGCTGCCCCATTCGTGGGTTTTCGGACATCTGCACCATATCGGCAAAACCATGGCCAAATATCCCAGCGATGTTCATGGCCAATACATGCCTCTCCTCCTTGCCAAAGACCACCCAGAATTGGAGGTGCCTGGGCTCATGTACATCGATATCTGGCCTGTTGCGCCCCCAATGCTGGCCGTATTTCATCCTGATATGATGGCCGAGTTCACGCAGACCACCTCGCTTCCGAAGCATCCGTCACTAGGGGGCGAGTTCAGGCCTCTTACGCAACTCAACGACCTACTCAACATGTCGGGAGAGACATGGAAGACCTGGCGAGGCATTTTCAATCCGGCATTTTCAGTCAAGAATATTCTGTCACTAATACCCGCCTTCCTTGAGGAGATTGATGTCTTTGTTGATCAACTTAAGGGCGCTGCAAAATCTGGGGAAGTTTTTAGACTTGAAGATAAGGCCATTAGCTGCACGATCGATATCATCGGTCGGGCTATCCTGTATGCGCTCCCTTTTACTTATCACCTTCTCCAACCTTCACTAACACCCTACATCTATAGTGACATTCGTCTAAATTGCCAAACGAGTAAGAACGAGTTACAAGAGACATTGAAGCGACAGATTGCTTTAATGTGGACAAGCAATGCCCCCGATCAACTAGTCATGGCTCTCAACCCATTGCGCCCTTTTCGCATGTGGAACAACAACAGGATCATCAGGAATTATCTCCGACCACATATCGAACGAGGAATACATGAGCATCTGAATGGTGAATCAACCGGACACAAGACCATCAACTCTCTAGCCACCAAGGCCTACCTCTCTGAACAGGATTCTTCCAAGACCAACGCAATCGATGCCGACGAACATTTCATGGACATCGCCATTGCCCAGATAAAGATCTTCCTGTTCGCTGGACACGACACTACAGCGACAGCTCTCGCATACTCCTACTACCTCCTCAACACAAACCCATCAGCACTAGCCACACTCCGCGCCGAACACGACGCCGTGCTCGGCCCTAATACAAGCACAGCCCGAGCCCAAATCGCCACCAACCCAGCCCTGCTCAACCACCTCCCCTATACATCGGCCGTCATCAAAGAAACCCTGCGCCTGTTCCCACCCGTCGGCACAGTCCGCAAAGGCCAACCAGACTTCTACCTAACCCACCCAGAAACAGGGAAGCGGTACCCCACAGACGGATTTATGTTGTTCGGACTAAGTTTCGGCGTCCAGCGAGCAGAAGAGTTCTGGCCCCGAGCCACAGAGTTTCTGCCCGAGCGCTGGCTCGCAAAAGAAGGCGAGCCGCTGCATGTACGGAAAAACGCATGGCGGCCCTTCGAGCAGGGCCCCAGGAACTGTATTGGCCAGGAGCTGGCGCAGATCGAGCTGCGGGCGATCCTGGCGCTGACGGTGCGTGAAATGGATATTGAACCTGTCTTCCCTGATGACTCACCTGTTGTGTTTGGGGAGAAGGCGTATCAGGTTATGGAGGTTGGTATGATTACTGGGCATCCGAAGCTTGGAATGCCAGTTCGGATTAAGATGAGGGATGAGAGTTAGGGAGGTTTCATTTAGAAGTTCATTTGTTCCCAGTTGCTGTTCGTAGGCCCTGATGATGGGTCACATGGCTGCAGGGGCTACCAGATCTTTCCACGCCACGATTATAGGTAACAGAACAATGATAGCTCAGATATGAAAGGCGATGGTGTATTTCGCTGCAATCTGGCTGTGGTAGTAGATCAACCCTTTCCGCTCGTCGTCTTCATAGTTCTCTGGGTTCTCCATGGCACAGCGCCGGCGCCGACCTGGGTGGGAGGAGTATCAACATGCCTTAGCTGACCCTATTTGTTACGGTTCCTACCGAAACTCAATTAAGGGCCGCAGCTACTGGTGAGCCCTCCATTACACGAGAGGCACTCCAAGACAATAGTCGGTCCAGTAAATTCAAAACCGTAATATCATTGTTAAATACCGTTCAGTACGTAGAATAGGCATTGTTATACTAGCGCCTTCAAATAATCTAACTAACGCCTTGGCAGTGGGGCTCGAAAATAGGAAAGCAATGTTTGGGTCGGAAGCTGATTTCGCTACGGGCCGTTGGTAGACAATATATATCAATCTTCGCCACTGTCTTTCGGTTTATCCCCGATGTTCTTGTCTCATAAACAATTCGTATTCTATCTTGACTGGACATGATATTAAACATGCCTTGTCCCGCCAAGTTCCCGTGCGAACAGATGTTGGTTGGCTGATCGCTCCCCTGAACGCACTAGGCTGGCGCTTAGATGCTGCGCCTCTTCGGTCTGGATCTTGGGTATTAATTGCAAGGCTCATTCGCTCACATTCAGGTCTTCTTGCTCAGTTTCCTGCTTACCTTGGATACTATTTCACCCACCTTGGCCCGTCGAGACTACGACAGTTCGCCTGGACTCCCCTTCCCTTAGTGAGGTGCGAGGACTATGCACCCAATTATGTCACCGAAACGTTTGAGGCACGATTCCTATCGGGTGGCGTGGATCTGTCCTTTGGAGGTGGAACAGATCGCGGCAATGGAGATGCTGGATGAACGCCACTCACGTCTACCGCAACCGAGCGAGGACTCCAATGTTTATAACCTCGGCAGCATCAACAACCATAACGTCGTTATCGTCGGTCTTCCCCAGGCGGGGAACTGCCCCGCAGCCACTGTCGTCACTCAAATGAGGAGGACATTCAAAAACCTCAAATATGGCTTGCTAGTAGGGATTGGAGGCGGTGTCCCAGTAGAGACGGTTTGTGGGAGGATCCGTCTAGGGCATGTCGTGGTCAGTGAACCTAGAGGCACACACTCTGGAGCAATACAATACGATCATGGAAAGGCGAATGCAGGCTATTTTGAACGGACAGGGTCCCTTGCGCCTCCGCCACCAGCGCTCCTTAACGCTGCACGAGAGTTGTCTATCTCGCGTGAACTAATAGATAATGATCCAATTTCCGAAAACGTGAAGAAAATCCGAATTAGCAAACGAAGGCCCCGTCGCTTCAAGTTTCCTGGCGCTGCAAATGATCATCTCTATTTAGCAGACTATAAACACCTGCAAAAAGGGTTATCGTGTGAAGACGGCGGATGTGATAAGGATCAGCGGATCCCGCGACCGATAAACGAGGAAGACGATTTGTTTGTTGTCGTACACAGGGGTACAATAGCAACGGGGGAAAAGGTGATAAAGGATGCTAAGGAGAGGGATAACTTAGCGGAGTCGTATACGGTGTTATGCTTTGAAACTGAGGCCGCGGGGGTCTTGACTGATTTCCCATGTATGGTTATTCGAGGTATCTCCGACTATTGCGACTCGCACAAGAACGACGAATGGCATGGCTACGCGGCGGCGGTAGCAGCTGCTTATGCAAGGCAGTTGTTTTTCCATATGTCTATTGAAGAAGCACAAAGGTGAACTTCTTACTATCCTACTATAGAGAGAAACACGGTTATGTTAATAGCTTATTGTATCGCTTAGACCTACCGATTTCAAGCTCCAGTTCAGCCTATCCGGGCTATCCGAAGTGAGCCACTTTGTTGCAAGAAAGCATGAGCTCCAAATGGTGCAAAAGGCCCTACAAAAGCCCCTAGAGGGATTTGAACGTCGCACTGCTGTCGTTCATGGGTTAGGTGGCATGGGCAAAACGCAGTTAGCGATCGCCTATATTAAGCGACATCGGCTTGACTACTCAGCGGTAATATGGATGAACGCGAGAGACGAAACTGGGCTAAAGCAAAGCTTTGCTCGCGCAGCTGAGCGGATTCTACACCACTACCCGTTTATCACATACCTTGCGGGTGCCTTGGAGAGCCGGGATCTAGACGAGATAGTGAAAGCGGTTAAAATGTGGTTGGACGAGCCGATGAATGATCGCTGGTTGGTCATCTATGACAATTACGACAATCCGTTATTAGATGACCATACAGGGAAAAGCATAAGCCATGCTTCCTGTATCGAGGCAGGGGCAGGTCCGTGGGGCGATGAACGCAGACACCTTCCGAGTGCTTTTGATCTTCGTGCATTTCTGCCCGAGACCGACCATGGCGACGTTATCGTGACCACGCGCTCATCGGTGGTAAATCTAGGCCAGGCTATCCAGTCTATTCACCTAAGCAAGCTGAAGGATATCAACGATAGCCTCGAGATCATTGCGTCCGTTTCTGGTCGTGATGGTTTAAGCCTTGGTGAGTACTGGTAAATAAGTTATGATTAATTGCCAATTACTAAGATAGAGCAGACCCGACAGCTTTTGATCTTGCAAGACAGCTTGATGGGCTTCCGCTAGCCCTTGCAACTGCTGGCGCGTACTTAAACCAAGTTTCGATAACCTACACTGAGTATCTCCAGCTACACCGTGAATCATGGCGGCAATTACAGGAAGAGACGCCGCAGCTACAGGCATACGATTATGCGTTATACTCAACATGGAATGTTTCGTACCAGTTTATTCGGCAGCAGAGTCCAATTGCAGCTATGCTTCTCCGACAATGGGCCTACTTCGCTAACGAAGACCTATGGTATGAGCTGCTGGGAGAAAGCGGGCCTGGAAAGCCGGAATGGCTAGAGAAACTGACGGAAAATAAGCTTACATTCCATGCAATCCTTAGACTTTTATGCAGTCATGGGCTTGTAGAAGCTGATCAGTCCACACCGGAGCTCGTTGACTCGCGAGGGTATAACGTGCACCGGTGCGTCCATTCGTGGATGATGTACGTGTTGAACGAGGTGGTTGACAGGGATATGGCTTTGACAGCGATAAAATGTGTGGTAGCTCGTGTGCCGAATGATAGTGAACCCAAATTCTGGCTCGTACAGCGGCGGCTTATTGCACATGCAGATCGATGTCGCGAGCTATTGGGCGATATAGATGTTGACAATGAAGCTGAGGGGTTACATTCTTTAGGCCTCCTCTATGCAGATCAAGGCCGGCTCCAGGAGGCCCAGGCGATGTACGAACGAGCACTCAAAGGCAAGGAGAAGACTTGGGGACCTGAGCACATGTCGACGCTAGATACCGTTAACAATCTTGGCGGCATCTACGCGGATCAAGACCGACCCCAGAAGGCAGAGACAATGTACGAGCGAGCACTCAAAGGCTACGAGAAGGCGTGGGGACGTGAGCACATGTCGACGCTAGATACCGTCCACAACCTCGGTAATCTGTATAGGAACCAGGGCCGGCTCCGAGAGGCAGAGGCAATGTATAAGCGAGCACTCGAAGGCTACGAGAAGGCGTCGTTGGGGCGAAAGCACACGTCGACGCTAGATACCGTTAATAACCTCGGCCTCCTCTACGCGGATCAAGGCCGGCTCCGAGAGGCAGAGGCAATGTACGAGCGAGCACTCAAAGGCTACGAGAAGGCGTGGGGACGTGAGCACACGTCGACGCTAGATACCGTTAACAACCTCGGCCTCCTCTACGCGAATCAAGGCCGGCTCCGAGAGGCAGAGACAATGTATAAGCGAGCACTCGAGGGCAAGGAGGAGGCGTGGGGACGAGAGCACCCATCGACGCTAAATACTGTTAACAACTTCGGCAATCTCTACAAGAACCAGGGCCGGCTCCGAGAGGCAGAGGCGATGTACGAACGAGCACTCGAAGGCTACGAGAAGGCGTCGTGGCGACGAGAGCACACGTTCACGCTAGATACCGTCAACAACCTCGGCAATCTCTATAAGAACCAGGGCCGGTTCCGAGAGGCAGAGGCAATGTACGAGCGGGCACTCAGAGGCTACGAGAAGGCGTGGGGACGAGAGCACACGTCGACGCTAGATACCGTCAGCAACCTCGGCAATCTCTACGCGAATCAAGGCCGGTTTCAGGAGGCAGAGACAAAGTACAAGCGAGCACTAGAAGGCTACGAGATGACTTTAGGGCCGACGTCTGTTTTGACCTACATCCCGGCTTTGGTCACGCTTGAGAACTTGGGCCTCCTCTCTGAGAAGCAGGGAACGATTAAGAATGCTCTTTTCTACTACCAGTGGGCTCTGGAGGGTGCTGAGGCTGTTTGGGGGCGAAATAGCGACAGATACAAAGATTTATCTAGCATATTGAGGTCTCTGTCGCCTGACACTTGCGATTTCTTTGAAGTACAAGGAGTCCATTCGAGTGGGAACAACCAGGCCGGAGAAAACTGGGGGAAGAAGATAAAAGCGAAGCTATCAGTCATGTTCAAGCCTTGATAAGCCAACCATGTACGCAAGCCAAATCCTCTCAGAAATCGCAGCATATCTTGCTTCAATGTCAGACATTCGGCGATACACGACGAGAATTATTCGACCGTCTTTGGAAGATCGGGCTACAGAACCCGACCGATTACGACAGCTGGCAACCCTCTACGTTGCCAAATTTATGCACCAAACCGGTCTTCTTGCTTAGTTTCAACACGTGAAGCAGGAGGATTTCGATGAAGAACCTGTTGGCCTCGCAGCGATGGAGCAGAGTCCCGAAGACGCTGGGTACTCACCAAAGCATGCCACCACGTTTGAGGAAGAAGAGAGCCTCACTCAGCTATTCGAATATACGCTGTCTGAATGGATGTGACCGAATATAATGAGCATTTAATTGAGGATGAAGCGAGAGCTCCGGTATACGGAACCTGACCTCGCTGCATGAAGATTGGAGGTTGAGAGACTAGAGGTATATATGGAGAGGTGGACGGTGCACCCACGCAATCTTTTTGTATTCAATGCATCGTTGGCATTGAATTTCCCATTTGTACTGCTTTCTTGGCTTTCATTGCTGGATTTTACGGGTTTTGATATTTGGACTTGCATGTACTAAGCTGGTGCTCTCACTTTCTGAGGACCAGCCTTCTGTTTGTGCTGGAGCATGATCTGGCGTACGGATTACGAGTCCTTGCTTCAACTGAAATGAAGCGCCTGCATGGCCATTACGATATTATTTAGGCTCCGACAGGTTAATAGAACTTTGTTTGATTTGATTGAAGACCCCACCGTCATCTCAGACGTTGGGGTCTAGAACGGAGCTGTCTTGTTGGCAGGAGCCTCGGTATATAGCTGCTGACCATTCTTCTTGAAACCAGTGATAACGTTCTGGCCCTCATCGCTAATAACCCACTGCACAAATTGATCAGCAGTCTTCTCATTCTTAGCATTCTTGCCAACAAGCATATGAGCAGGGTTAAGAAGCGGGTCCGAGGCTTCATCAGTAGCTGCCTTATAGATGGTAGTCTGGTTCTGCAGCACGGTAGAGATGGAAAGATAAGTACCACGATCAGTGATGGTGTACTCATCCAACAAGATAGCAGCAGTTAAAGCCTGAATTGGGTACGCAATGTACTGGTGGTACCATTTAGAGTAAGCAGTAGCCCAGGGGACTTGACCGATACCAATCCACAACTGAGAGTCTTTGATATTTGTTGCGGACTTGTCGTAGCGCGTGAGGAAGCGCACGGGTGGGTCTGAAGTTCCTTCTTCGGCGGTTTCATAGATATTCGAGAACATGGTGCTGATATCTTCGCTCTTGGAGAGGTTGGCTGGGTTGGACTGCGGACCGACGAGGAGGAAGTGGTCGCGCCAGGCGTACCATGCGGGGGACTTTGCAATGCCTTGATTGATGGCGATCTGCTCGGCTGATGGGGTGTACGTGATTCCGATATCGACGGTGTCGTCCTTGAGGTAGTTGATGGACTCGGTGGTGTCGCTCTTATACCAGGCGACTTTGAAGGGATTGGAGCCGTTGCTGACACTGGACTTGATGAACTCGTTGGCGAGGACTGGGCAGTGTTAGCTGCGAGTCTATATGTACATAAAGTCGAAAAAGTGTGCCAGTCATTAAGTTACGCTTAACTTACTTTCAATCAGACCGCTTTGCCCGGCGCCGCCATTGCCGATTCGAAGCAAGACGTCACTGGAAGAGGTATAGCCACCGCTATAGACCGCAGCAGGATCGACAGCATATGCGGATGTAGCAAGAGCCACGCCCTGAATGAGGGTGGCAACAGACGGCATATTGGCATATAACAGTTATATAATGAAAGAAAGACTTTCAAGGCCAATTCCAGTTGGTTGGGGACACAACAGGAAGGCAAATTTCGACTATAGGCAGGAGATCGCATCATTTATAATGCAAAGCCCCCGACGCCAGGCCAAATCATCAAAAATGACGTGTATGGACAGCTTCCTCAAGGGTAGACCCGGCAGATCGGTGGGCCTATAGGTGTGATCGGGTATCTAGGACTATTTTACAAGAACAAGCAAAGATCGCCTCTATTTTGGGCCACTCTGCATCCCCTTCTACCCAATGTGATGATGATCAGTCGATGCCAAGCCAATAGCGCACGAGTTTATCAACATATTCGTATAGTTCAGCTCCCCAAGGGTTCGTGTTTGAAGATGATCTGAATCCGTCCCGTCGACTCCGCAAGGTATGTCGAACGTTACACTAAAAATAAGAGTGCTAGCCGGCTAGTAAAAGGTAGTAGGTTTTTGTCCATTATAAAGTCCTGCTTGTACATTGGAAATCCACCTCTATTACACAAGAATCATGATCAACATCCGCTCATGCAATAATGTATAAACTAAAGCAAGAAAAAAAAAGAAGCAAACAAAGCAAATGCAAGACTTGAATACAAGCCCACAAAGGCCGCGTCTCTCAAACGCTAACAACATATCATGAAAAGTATGGGTATTTCTGAGTCATGCAAATTAGGCAATCAATCATAGATATCATCAAACAAAAAGCAAAGCCATCAGTAAATCAATCAATAAGTCGGTAAATCGGTAAATCATAATCATAGCGTGCACCTAAACACTCGCTGTGCGCCGCGGAACCTCACTTGGTTTCTGGGCATATGCAATCAACATGCGGAAACCAGTTCCTCTCCTCTGACACTCGCGAAGGACCTTGCGGTCACTCCACATGCTGGTATCGCTATCCCCTCCAGGGAAGACAGGATCTTCATAGCATTTTGAGTACCACCAGCGTCCGACACGAGCGACGATCTTTGCGATGGATTCGTCGTTTGCTGGGGATGGGGATGGGTCGGAGAGGAGATCACCCAGAGAGATGTCCGCGTTGTCAGAGGGGGATTTTGATGCATTTCTTGTGCTTTGGCTTCCTGTTGCGGTGGTGACAGAAATTGTTGGGAGGGAAAAGGCGTCGGAAGGGGTAGTTGCTGAGATAGATTGGGAAGAGGATGTAGTGGAGGCGGAGGATCGGACGACCATTCCTGCGACTGGAATACGGACCATGCAGCGGCGGAGATTGTCAAAGCCCTGGGTACCGAGTTGTCGTTGGACGCTGTCGCTGGCTGGTTTGAGGCTGATCGTTGAATCGGATAGGCAAGTTGTTTCCTTTAGCTGGCGGACTGCTTTGCGGGTGCGTGGTCCCATGTTTACCATGTCACGGTCTAGGAGGCTCATCTCTAGGTACCCGCCTGTTCGGAGGACCCGTTTGCATTCTTGGATAATGTTGCCTTGAACGGTCTCGGAGGATACGGCGGGGAATCGCAGCACGGCTACGGTGAAGTAGTCCTTTGGAAAGGGAAGCGGGTTGCTCAGTCCGGCGTGGTAAACTGTGTGGTGGTTTGTCGGTGGCTGCCATGCCGCAGGGTGAGGAGCTGCTGTAGACACAGGGCGACCTCCAAGACTGTATACCTCTGCATCGGGATACGTCAAAGAGCAATAGAAAGACCAGTCGTCGTTTCCAAGTCCATCAACCACCAGGATCCTTCCTTGGCCTCCGGTTTTGACGTGGTTATGTGCCGGACTAAATAGAACTCGGCCAAATGACAGCCAACGGCTGGTCATGAGCGACGCCGACCGCATGTTAGTCCGTGTCACCGCATCCCATTCACGCTCCGAGGAGCCAGCTTCCTGTTGACGGTGGATCTTTGGTCGCGGTGAAGGGACAGCAGCGAGAGACTGAAGAAATGTGGACTCCTGTTCCCGGCGCTGGTGGGTGGAAGATCGCTGTTCGGTAGGAGCCGAAATATCCTCGTCTTTTTTTTCATTTATCTTATCTTCTGTTAAGTCACCATACCTGGAAACGAGATCGCTGTAGGAAGGTTGCGATGAAGGAGCCGTAGACGAATGCAAAGCAGAAACAATCCTAGACCGACGAAGCCGAACAGAGCTAGCACTTGATCTCACAGAATCCTCACCAGGAACTCGCTGGGTAGGGTTGGGGTTATTCAACCCGTCCTGAAGAGCCCTACTCGCGATAGTAGCAAGTTCGAATCTGTCATCCTCTTCAGACTTAACAGGCTCCTTTGGCTCCGGCCCCTCTGGCGAGAGAACATGATCAATCAAATCATCAAACTCATTCCAAACCTCATCTTCAGTAGGTGGCGATCCAGGCACCGGAGCGACTGCAGTAACTGCAGCCAAAGCAGCAGAACTATCTGACGAGGTCGAACCTTTCTTCGGCGGAAACTTAAGGAACTCATAGTCTGAGAATGGTCCAGCGAGGAAATCCAAAGCGCTGGCTTCCTCAGAAGCGCTGAAAGCAGGATTAAGCCCATGGCCCCATCGAGGTTCGCTGGGCCCGATTCCCAGATCCAGAGGTGCATCGGTGATCAATGGAGACTCGTGTGGAGCACCCGTCGTAGGAACAGTGAGGGATGGAGACTCAACGACACTAAAGGGTCGCGAAAATGACTGCATCACTGGTCGATGTTGTCTGTCGCGCCTCGAGACAACCTGCGGAATTCGGCCAACCGAAGCCAATCGTCTTGGGCGTTCGACTTCAGGTGACGACTCAAGCTTTGGAGGCATAAGGTTGCGATTGAACATGGCAGTCTTCGGCGATGGACGGTCATTGTCAAACTCTCCATGAAGCTTTGGCGGAGAAGGCAACAGGATGGAAGGCTCTCTTTTTCTGATATTCAGACCTGCTGGAACTTCCACGGGGTGGAATATTTCTTCCTCTTCTGTTGGTGGGGAGTCATCAATTTTGTTGATGATCTCGTCCAGCGAGTCCGAGTCAGCGTCGACAAATGCATAGTGGGCAACAGGTCGAGTGTTCAGCACGGGCGAAATCGCCGCATGGAGTTGGGCAGTATGGGATGCAGTTGAGATAGGAGGCTCGCTCTTGTGCTCGCTGGCATTTTTCTTCTGGAAAAAATTCCACATGGACGTCTTTCCCTTCTTGGCTTGTTGCTGCTCGGCCGGCTCCGGTTTTTGAGGTCGTTCCGAGGGTTGTTGAGCAGGTTTCTTTGGCTGGCGTGGAGCTTTAATGCTCGACTCTTGACTAGTGAGAGTTGTGGTGGTCACAGCGGCTTGAGGGTTTGCAAAGACGCCATGCCAATTGCTCTTTGGAACTGGCATGCGTGATTTGGAGGCACTAGGCCGACTGATGTTCGTTTGGCGCTCAGCGCTGGGGTTCCTTGATGCGGTCCCAGTAGACTCGACAGGCGTGACAGTATCACCAAACGTCCCCGTAGAAGTGGCAAGCGAGTCAGTAGACTGACCACTGGAGTGTGTGAGCGCGCTCTGTCGAGGTAAGTTCGAAGTAGATGCAACACTAAGGCTGCTCATACTCTGCTCGCTCTGTGTTCGCGACAACGATGCGCCATCCACTCCCCCGCCATTGATGATAACAGGCTCCAGACGACTCATTAGGAAATCATCAATCTCCAAGTCAGGCCTACTAGACAGGCTTCCTTTGCTGGCGGCACTTCGCGTTGTGCTTGTTGATCTCGTTCTCGTGCCGCTGCTACTACTCCCACTGGCTTTCCGGCCGCGTTGTCCGTACTTCCCGTAGCCCTCGTGTCCTGTTCCAGCGGCGGGGCCTTTACGTGGTAGACGAGCTTGTTCCGTCGTAGTCACATCCATATCAGGCTTAGACTTCTTCGTGAAAAGACCAAATCGTTTCGGTACAGGCATCTTCGATTCCGGTTTTTCCTTAGGAGGCTCCTTCGTCAATGTCCGAGGTGATTTCCGAGATAACACAGGGGCTCCTCCATCCCGAGATGATATGCGTGATATACTCCTCGAGTGCAGCGAGTCAATTGATGCAGCGGCAGATTGGTTTGGGGTTGGATGTGGAAGGTTGGCCGCTAGGACCTTTTCCGCGGATTCGCGTCTTGTGTGACCCGTCGATCTGATGTATCGCAAGTTGCTCCGTACCACAGGTGAAGTTTCCAGCTCTAGACGATGCGTTCCATCTCTGCTTGGTCTTGGTGGAGTGCGTGGATTCTCCGCAATACCTGCGGGGGAGCATTCCATGCCCCCTTGCGGATCAAACAGGCATCTTTCGGCTTCCTCGACCTCTCTACGGGCCCTTTCGGTGTCAATTTCTCCGGTTTTTGATTGACTGGAATCTACCGAACTTTTTCTCTGTGAAAAATTGTATGGCGAGCCTCGAATGTTGGTAGATGGAGACTTTGAGGTTGACTGTTTCTGATCATCCGTCCCTACTGAGCTTGAACCAGAAGGCTTTGAAGGCACACGCTTTTGGGTCTTTTGCTCAGGCCTTTCTTGTTTGGGACTTGATTGAATGATTGAGGGAGAAAACACCGGCAATCGTGTTTGCGATTGGCTAGGCTGCCTGAGACGGCCGACCTTTGTCGAGTATACGATACCTGGGGAATAAGAAGACAGGGAAGTTGGAGTAGATCCTCGACTCCAAATACTTGGAGACTCTGAGTATCTTGTCGAAGGGCTGCTTGCCGAGAAAAAGGGCGCCGGAGGGGGTGGCAAGTTCTGGGTATCAACTGTAGTCCTGAGACTTGCCAGTTCTTCCGGGCCATTAAATCTGGAATTTGCCGAGCTCAAGTTCGCACTGCTCTCGTTTGTATGACTGGTTCTATACGACGAAGCCGAATGCCCTAACCGAAGGGACTCGGGAGTGCCGTGCTTCGTTGCACTGTTCATATTGACGGGTTGAGGCTCTTGCGGAATCACGAGGCTGAGCTTGTGGGATTGTAATTGCTCCACATGTCTTCCTATTGTTGGGGCTCGTCTTCGAAGAACATTTCGTGACCGTTTCTGAGAAGACACTTGTTGTCCAGTCACAAATACTGATGGATTGTTGATCCCTGGGCTGGAAAGCGACGAGGGAATTGGTTGTGTGGACTTCTGAGTAAAGGCAGCAGATTCCGGCGTAGTTGGTGATACAGTGCTACCGGTCCTGGGACGCGGAAGCATAGATAGTCGATTTCCACGATTTGTATTCTTGGTATTTGATGGCCCTGGCACTTGGCTGGTCTCTTCGACGCTCGAGAATGATGAGGTCCTGCTTCTGGGTGTAAAATTGACTGGTCTTGCAACCTGCGACCCTGGTGGCCGAACGCCATAGGCATTTGCAGGCGATGTCGAGGACAGGCCATCACGTGGCATGTGATGGCCAGAACTGTACGACATAATGTAGGGTTGAGTGAGGTCCCTGGCTGCAATGCGAAGACAAATGACTCGGGTACTTGTACTGCGGTATAGTAATCATCACGTATCATTATCTAGTGAAAAGCAGCCTTGGTTGATCAGTATTGTTTGTCCTAGATCTGGTTGGGGATACTCACTGCGATACATGTCAGGAGATCAAGATTGTTGGCGCCTAGCGCATGTATAATATTAAAATATAAGAAGCAGATAAACTGGGGTATCTCAAAGTCATAGAACTAGAAGTAGATATTAGCAGGGTATTAAGAGTATAACAAAAAGTCCGTGAGTAAACGTCAGGGAAAAGTCACCTTGGATCGGCGAAGCCTAAAAGCTGCAGCTGCTTCGCCACACTCAATGTGGCGTTGGATCTCAGGGTTTTCCAGCCACGTCAGAGGTCAAAAATAAATTGAAAGACAACGAAGAGAGAAACCCGATAATTATTAAGGCTGCAGGCATTTATGTGCTGACTAGAAATGCCCCTCGATGTGGGGGCAAACCACCCCTTGTACCGCACCATATAGAAGGGTTTGCACGGCAGCCCCGATACCACAAAACCAGGCTGTTTCTCTCATTGGCACACTATAACTATTTCTGTGACGAGATCGGGGGAGTCGAGACTGCACAATTTCGAGCCTGTCAAAAAGACCAGATAGCCTGTGCGAACTAGTGTTGGATGGGCCAAAGTCAAAAAAGGTGACTCCCACAAATAACCAGGGCAATCCCCAGCGGGATGCGTTGCGCACGCACACATGGCTAACGACCAGGCCCACAGGGATCTCAGTAAGAGGCGTCTCGTTGGCTCGACGGTATCGGCTCCCGGCGGCAAAGCAGTCCTGTATCAGCACACAACGTGACAGGGGTGTTGCATGGCTTGACTCAGTGGAGAATCGTCAAATTTTGACCCGATCGCAGGTGAGCGGTGTACATTCAAGCTGAGCGTGCAGCAACCCCGTGTTGGCAACCAGTCTGCTCGCGTCTCTCTCGCCTCTTTGCCAACACATCCGGAGACGCCGATTTGAAGACAAATCCATGATTCGAATGATCGACGCGAAGAGTTTTCCTTTGTTCATTTATACTTTTTCCTTTTTTTGCAACTCCCGTAACTCCACGCCTTCCCCGTGCATTCGGAGAATTTCCCAACGTGGTTTCAAGGGACCATGCGTATGCAAAGAGACGTATGTGTTCGACTAGGCGCCGGACACTTCACATCTTCCCGAAACAGTACATTTCCACCCGCATCACGTTTGAGACACATCGAGTCTCAGCTAAGATTTCTCAACGGTCATCCAGAGTTGCGTACTGTTTGGAACAGGCCCGAGCCGAGCCTTTACCAGGGAATGCCATCCACTGGACGTAAAGAGGTCGCTGCAGGTGGGGGCGAGTCTAATCGGTAGCCTTGTAAGATTCACAGACCAGTGACAGCTCGGGAAGCCCATGTCTTCTCCAGGAATTCAATGTTCGAGCACCCTTGGATGTGGAGACGGGCTGTGATGGCCCACTGGGCGATCGAGCAATGAACAGGCCTTAGAGGAGTATCGGATGTTAGCTTGAAGCCACCAATTCTAAAAAAAAGGTGACTTGCGGATTGCGATTCGCGGGGAGGAACTGAGCCAAGTGGGGATGGCGGTAATGCTGGCAATGAAGCTTGAAGTCGTAGTGCCAGAACATGCCATTTCAAATACCTGCGGTTTCCTCGTAGAGAATAGTGCGTGCTCAGACCCGAGTTCTCTCAATGTTGAGGCTTGTCGATCTCAAGCACAGCAGTCACGTTCTGGGTCATGCTTAAGCTGCGAGTGGTCGGAGCGCTGCTGCAGGAACAAGCGACTAATGCAGTACTCAGCTTCGCCGTCACCGGGGAATTAACACTGAGCGCCGCGAAGAACAGGTGATTGAGTTTTGAGTCTGTGTAAGAGTTGAGATTTCGAAGCTCCAAGGATTCCAACCTTGGCCCTGGGGATGACCTCTGCTGACTACTCTCTACTTGGAACGAAACATATAGAAAGCTTTCTAGATTCACATATATTAAAACAAATCGAATTAAATGGCCTCGAAATTTCCCAGTAGCATCTCAACACACAAACGCCCATGAAGTAAATGATGATTGACCCAGAAGCAAGTACACTTAAGCAGCAGCGGCAAATCGCTTCTTGCGAGCCTCCATAGCAGCATTGTCCTTCTCACTCCAGTTCTTGGGAGCATTGTTCCCATTGCCAGCGTTGGGCTTTTTTACACCAGCATTGGTCCGGTTTCCGCCATCGCGGTTACGGTTCCCATCTCCACGGTTTCCATCTCCGCGTCGCTGGTTACGATTCCGGCCAGTGTCGCGCTTCTTGCCTCCACGACCGCCCTGGTCGGCGCGAGCCTCGCGGCCCCTCTTGCGAGACCGCTCGTCAGGGAGTGCCTGATCCAGGCGACTAACACCCGCACCGGGGGCGATCTCGGCCTCGGCACCGGTACCGAACCGCTTTGCGCGCTCCAGTTGCTTCGTAGCCTCCTTCAATGCTGTCTCAGAATCCTCGATGATGCCGAACTTCTCGGCGCGCGCCTTGCGCTTCTGCAACTCGGCCTCTAGCTCTGTCGCGGGCAGTCCGCGAGTGTAGTCGACAGCCGGCTTCTCTTCGACGGCAGCTTCAGGCTGGGCGGCGACTTCGGCGGCGGCGCCGGTGGACTCGACCTTCAGGTCATCGGTCGTGGCAGGGTTCTCATCGAGTTTCTGGTTGGGGACAGCGACGGGGTTGGCAACAGCGCCTTGGCCACCGGCAGCAATGGCTGCGGCACCGGCTTCTGTTGATGGCTTCACGGCAGTCTCTGTAGGTTCGTCGTCCCAGTCGATGACATCCTCGGCGGCGTCAGTCTTGGCTGGAGCTGGAGCAGCGGCGGCAGCATCGGCAGGTTTGCTTTCGTCGTCTTGTTGGAGGCGCGAGATCAGGTCGGCCTTTTTACCGGTGTGAGGGAGAGATCGAGATTTGAGGATCTCGACCAACTCAGGGTTGGTCTTCTTGCTGTAGTCGGTCGCCATGTTGCGATTGGAAGATGTAGTAAGGTGAGGTAAGGTGAGGGGATTCGGAGATGGGAAGAGGGAAAGATGAGGTTAGGAATGCGATGTGGGGCCAGACAACTCGAATGGACGGAGAGGACAATCAACGCGACAATGGGGGCGCGTCCAGGGTCGTCACGTGATATGACAACTGCACTGGCCACTTGTATTCATGTCTTTCTAACAGTGGAATCGATCGAATCTACATTAGACATCTCCATTTCGTGGGAGCCATAGCGATATGCAATGTAAAAAGTATTGGTGGCTTAACACGATACCCTATTCAGCCCTCAATAGCTATTGAGATGAAAACGTGGGGATACATTATAACATCCTGTTTTACTCGTTTACACTGGCTACAAAGTCCGCCAATCACAATTATGCATAATAAGATGTACGCCTAGGCAATTCATTGGACTTGCAAACCAGCAACCAGATATGGCCCGGCGACTCCGAACAAATAACTCTCCAATATGACTCTTCTCCTTCTTCTGCCGAGGAAGATCGGTTATCCCCGGATCTCCAGTCAAGCAATACGAGAATACAGTAGAAATCAGATATCATTGGCAGTGTAGCCCGTGCATGCAGAGATCAACACGCCGCAGAAGCTGTAAGAAGAGGCTGTATCAAGCAAGTTGGACTATGCGCAATGACACAGCTGATCCAGATACTCAATATTATGTCCGAATCAGAGGTTGCCAGTTGTACAGGGCTTGTTGGGAGAAAACGTGGCCTGCATGCACTGCGCCACAACTTTGTGACGCCACCTTATGTTCCTCAGGCATCAGTTGAAGTATAAGTTCTCCAAGTCAAATTTGCATGCTATGGCTATCAAGGGCATATTAAATAATACAGTGGCTTGATTGGTTTGTTCTTAATATTCTTATGATTGGTGAACAGTATTGAAAACGAAAACCAGAGGTATAGAGAGAACAAAGGCGTAGTAGCGCCTTCTTGCTCATGCTTGCAAATCTGCAGCTTTTCGTCCCTTCTCATTCTTTTCCTACATCTATTCTTTTCAAAGCTAGACTCTAATGTTCCTTATATCTATAGATTACAGCAGATTTTATGTATAGAAGTTCTGGCTGTCTGTTGCTAACCTCAGATACTATAAGACTGGGTCATGTAAGTCGGCATTCCTAAAGCCGTTTAGATAAGAACTTGACTTCTTGGTCATATATCACTTTCCTATATAGCTTCTTCTTGCTATTTTTAAGTGACCTAAAGCTAAAAACAATTTGAAGGAATAGAATAGCCCCTTATTCACTAACGAAGAATTGTTAGATATAAGCCCTAATTTCAGTTCTAAAGTGATTCCCATCATGAATATACATTGCCATCCCTACTATCAATTAATCTTAATAGTTTCGCTTTCTTTAAGGCATCCGCTCTTATTTCCTACCCTTACATGATCTGTAACATTCCTACATCCAGAAATAAGCAAACTTCTCAGACTAAGTCATTACAAAGTGACATGAAAGCAAGTGAAAATTCAGCGTTCTCTCTCTCATTCTTCTCTTAACTAGAAGTTACACAAACATTTGGGGGCACTCCCCGGCCCAGGTATACTCACTTTCTCTTGGCCACAAACGGCCCACGCCGGAACTCAATGCTGTGCCGCTTGATCCTAACCACCCGCTCGGTTGGATAGCCCACCTCATAGCCAAGATCCACGTCTGTCCGGCCTCGAAGACCCATACTGAAGCAGGTCAGGAGGGTATCAGTCCACTCCCGCCACATTCCCTGGATCTTCTCATCCGGAAGGTACTCGTCGTCCAAGGCGGACGACGGGGCCTCCATCCTCCAGCTGAAATCCGTCAGACCAGGTAAAATTGTTTCCCAGAAGTGACGGTCAGGCTTGGGGGTCCCCTTATCGAAACCGGAGGCCGTGTGAGAGATAGCGACGACGTAACGCAATCGTCGGAGGTTTGCCTTGCCAAAGAACCTCTTCATGCTGATCTCTGCATCATCGGCCACCCAGATTTCGAATAGGTTCTCCCCGTAGAGGATGTCGAGGCACTCCTCACTCATCTGCTTGCAGATGGTGAGGATACCTGTCCACCGAGGAATCTGGTTGCCAAACAGATCCTCGGCGTCCCAGTCGTAGGTCGAGACTAGGGGTTCCACCCCGAAGGGTCGGAAGCGGCGCGAGACCTCAATTGACAAGCCGCGAGGAATCAGCTGACGCCAGATCATGTGGCGTAGCTCCAATGGGAGGGTGAACAAAGGAGGAATTGGAGAATGGGGAGACATTTGCTCAGTCTCGTTGCGTAGAATATCTCCTTTAATCTCAGTCTGCTCTTGGTTTCGAGCATCCTGGTGGCCTTGTGCGTCCTCATTGTGCTGGGTGTCTGCGTGGCTTTGAGTCGCTTCATGGCTTTGGAAATCCACTTGAATTGGAGTCGCTTCATGGCTTTGGAGACCCGCTTGAATTGGAGAATCCATGCCATTCACAGTATCGTCACGACTTGTAGTATCCTCACCACTTTGAACATCTTCGTGGCTTTGAATGTTTCCGCGTTCTTGAATATTCTCGCGGATTAGGGCATCGTCGCGGTTGGGAGTGTCCGCCATTGTATCAACTTTGTTTCGACAGACTCGACGGTTCATGGAATTTTTCTTCAACGATTAGAACTGTTAGTTATTTGCAAGTAATATTGGATAATTTTGTCATGCATACCTTGGACCTTGGAGCAAGAGACGATGCGCAGTCGATTTCACTGGCGGGAAAATAAAGTGTCTCAATATCAACGGTCTCTTTTCTGCATGAAACGAGACGAGGGATCCTGTTAGACGTTTCCGAGTCAGCCTGTCTGAAGTCCCATTAATAATGTTCTTCCAGAACTTACCTTTTCAAGGGGATAGATTTGAAAGATGATCTTGGGTTTATGCCGAAGCAACGTGGTTCACGATATCTGGTACGATCGAGATTGTGAAGATGTGGTCAAGGAAATCTTGTACGATCGATGGCACGAAGACTTGAATCAGTACTAAAACTTCCGAGTCAGTCATCGTACTGGAAGACCAAAAGCCTTGATATCATACCTGATTAGGGAGATCCGGTTCAAGAGCGGCTCCAGTGGGTAGCAGAGTGTACGGTGGAAGCGATTGTCATCAAACCCTTGAAGGAATCAATTTCAGGAGAAGCCTCACGTCAAGGCTATGATGAATAGTACTAAAAGGAAGTACCTGATGCAAGAAGACTCAAGGAAGAGGGACCAGGAAGAAGAATGGGTGAAGGGCGTTGAGAAGGGGAGATAATTTCGAAAGTGTAAACGATCTATATCCCGGGATCGTGGGATGGGATCGTGGGTTGACGACCTAAGGCCGTCGATTCAACATCAGGGCTAAACCGCGATGCACCAGCCGCGCATTATTGGCTCTCTCTTCCTAGTCATACCATAACATCCTTCCAAGCCACATTTTCAGGCACTGTAGACCCGGGTGTGATAATACGGAAGCACACTAGACCACGCAGTGACTTATTTGAAGCATTTGGATAATCTCCAGCCCTACACCCTCCGATTCTTGTCATCTGCGTAGAGGATATTACAGTAAGTTTATCTTAGTGCGAGTAGTCATGCTTTAAAATGTTTTTCGTCTCTTTCTGCGTCTCCTTTGGCATCGCTTTTAGTGCCTCTTTATCCCTAGGAAAGATCAATCTCTGCTAAATCCTGGCACTATATCCCGGTTGAACCCAATGGGGACACTTAGTGAACAAGCCAACTATGGAGACGAGAACATAACAGTTTGAGCAGTAGTCTAGTGGCAAAATCATGAGTAGGACCCAAGAGCCTGGGTCGATATTACGTATGCGGATGAGGGCATCACGGTTGAAGCAATGAAGTGGTTGTCAGGCTTATGCACGGTATGAATTTTGGAAATAGTCAACTTCAAGCTCCTTCAGCAATTCATATACAAGACAGCTGAGCACTTTAAACTCGTGAAATCTATGTAGCGTTTGGCCTCTTTCGATAGCCGGTTCACTTACTCACTTTTGAATATCAATAAGAATTAAGCACAACCCCCTTTCTTCTGAAGTCCAAAATACACGAAACATAGTTCTTAGGGCCTTGCAGCTCTTGAAAGGACCAAATTTGCGCGTATTTCCCTTTTCTTTTCTTTTCTTTTTTTCTTCCTTTTTTTTTTTTTTTGGTTTGATTGCCCAATGCAGCATGCATACAGTGTTTGTTGCATTACCATGGAGAGCAATCCACCTTGCTAATGAGTCTTTATAAGTCTGCTGGTTTAAATTGGCTATCTATTAATTCTTCTATAAAGCGATCGCCTGGGTACTTGTTTCCTTCAACCCCCTGAATATCCGCTTGTGCTGTTCCAAAAGTACCAACGTTGCAATCGTCTGTGGTCCCAGCCTGACAAAACTCGGAGTCCATCCTCGAAATATCCATCTAGCTCCCTCTGTTGCCGTCAATCCCTTGACGACCCCCAAGATTCCCTGCTTCTCCGATGATCCCATAAGGTGTGTCTTGATCACATCGATCGGGCTGCATAGTGTAGTAGCCACTAGCGCTGCCAAGAAGGAAGCCGACACCTGCAGTCCAGGGCTATTACCATCAATACCCGTAGTTCTTGCTAGTAATTCCCTAAAACTGTCATAGGAAGCAAGCTGGCAGCTGGTCATTAAACCACAGCGGAAAGCATTAGGCCACAATCCTTGCCCAAAAGCCTTCCAACCTTCCTGTCTATTAATTTGACCCCATGCATCAAAGACATGTCGGTAGTTCCGGCGAAGATGGGGAGGCAGTGAGCCGTCGTTCTGCATTCGGATATTGCCTATGTCTGAGGCATTTCCGAATATTCCGCCGACGAACCCAGAAATACCTGCTAAAACTCCAAGCACTGGAGGTGATGCGGGGAAGTTGTTCGCTTTTGCTTTGTCTTTCAATGTTTCATAGAGGCCGATGCGGACGGAGCCATAAGTTACTGTCGAGTAGGTAAGTATCAGTAAGTATCAACTGGAAAGAGATAAGAAAGAATCGTCGCATTACACTGTCTCATGAAACCTGCTGAGAGCTTGGAAGTATAAGCCTTTGCTTTCTATCCATCTAATAGTTCCAACTTACCCCATTATAAAGTGCAAGTACACCCTCTCCCCGAACAATTCGAACGCAGCTAGTGAAAGTGCCAGCTTTCGCACCACCAGGTTCCATCTGCATTCTGACCTTGACTAGAATTATTAGTGAATTTGATAAAAGACAGAACGATTGGCAGGCAAACTCACTTAGATCCAAAGGATGTGAAACAAGCACAGCCATGCAGGATGCAGAGCCCCCAAACCACTTAGGGTATATAATTGATGAAGAAGAGTATGTTGATTGGCCGCCCATCTTTAAATTTTTGATCCCGATCTATGCGACTTGTGAATTTACTTGTCCCGCTGGATCTTTTTGTATCTCGTGCACTGGCATATAGCCGATTCGGTGATCATCGCATACTCCAACCTCGGTGCGGGGATTGCCGAGCAGTATAACTTGTAAGTAGGCGAGGGCCATATTAAGATCAATCTAGAAAATAGTTAACATGCTGGATTCAATGCTCTACTGGTTTGTCTTCTTTGGACAGTGATTTTCCCGTTGTCCACGTTGAGAAGCGAACGTGACAACGAGACTTTCTTTAAATCGAAATCCTATCGACTTCCGGTAGATTGCTAACAAGCCTCTAGCTTTAATGCTAATTGAGATACAAACTGTGTGCAATTAATTTTGGTTACTTCTCGGTTATTTCGGTCAATGTGGGCATATATATCTTAATAGCCCCGTCCCGATATATATCGACATAGCATTGGTTCGCAGACATATTTGCAACGTAACTTTGCCGGTCTAGACAAATCTCTAGCCCTACAAACCCTACACTCGAAACGGATCTCGAAAAAAGAAACAAATGTTCACTATACACAGGGCTTATATGAAGCAGTAGTAGAAAAAACAGACAAAGGAGACGGACAGGACATAATAGAACAACGCCATGGGAAGAAAACATGGAGCATTTGGTATCCCCTGGGTAGCATCGAAAGATCCAGGGTTGATCACATTGAGGAAGGAAATAGGTGGTTCCTCTTTTCTGATTTGTCCCCCAGCACAGGCGAATCTAACCATCTAAGAGGGTGCCATTGAAGGTTTTCTTCGGGGTTTGTTTTTCTTTTTTATTATTGCGTTGCCAATATGTTTACCGGTCAACCTCACCGAACACCAGATCCATGGTACCTAGAGAGTCAATGTTAGTTATGCTTATATGGTCATTGAAAAGAGAGATCTTACCGATAATAGCGACAGCATCAGCCAGAAGATGACCACGAGACACCTGGTCGAAACCACCCAAGTGAGCGAAACCAGGAGCACGGATCTTGCAGCGGTATGGCCGCTCGCTGCCGTCACTGACCAGGAACACACCCATCTCACCCTTGGGGGCCTCGATGGCTGAGTAGGTCTCACCAGGGGGCACGGAGTAACCCTTGGTAAAGAGGAGGAAGTGGTGAATGAGAGCTTCCATGTTCTCCTTCATAGCGGCACGGGGAGGAGGGGAAATCTTGTAGTCCTCCACACGGACGGGGCCAGCAGGCATCTTGTTCAGACACTGGTGAATAATGCGGAGGGACTGGCGGAACTCCTCCATACGGCAGAGGTAACGGTCGTAGCAGTCACCGTTGACACCGACGGGAACATCGAACTCGACTTGGCCGTAGGCATCATAGGGCTGCGACTTGCGGATATCGTAGGGGACACCAGAGCCACGGAGCATAACACCAGTGAAACTCATGTTGAGCGCATCGGCAGCGTTGACAACACCGACACCCTGGGTTCTGGCCTTCCAGATACGGTTATCCGTGAGCAGCTCCTCGGTCTCGTCGATACGGTCACCGAACTGAGTGGCCCACTGGTAGATGTCGTCCAAAAGACCGAGAGGAATATCCTGCGAGACACCACCGGGGCGAACGTAGGCAGCGTGAAGACGGGCACCAGAGACACGTTCGTAGAATTCCTAAAGCACCCGAAACGTCAGCATATCATGTCTTGGCGGACCCAATTGGCAAGGCCCGGGTACTCACCATGAGCTTCTCACGCTCCTCGAAACCCCACAGGAAAGGAGTCAATGCACCAACATCCATAGCGTGGGACAGGACGGACATGAGATGGTTCAGGACACGAGTCATCTCGCCGAACAAAGTACGGATCCACTTGGCACGCTCGGGAATTTCAACGTTCAGCAGCTTCTCGACAGCCAAGGAGAAGCACTGCTCGTTTGTCATCATAGAGACATAGTCCAATCGGTCAAAGTAAGGTAGGGCCTGCATGTAGGTCTTGTACTCGATCAACTTCTCGGTACCACGGTGAAGCAGACCGACGTGGGGATCGGATCGAACAATCTCTTCACCATTGAGCTCCAGAATCAATCGGAGCACACCGTGAGCAGCTGGATGCTGGGGACCGAAGTTGACAGTGTAGTGACGGATCTTGCGGTCAATCCCTTCGGCCTCAGATTCCAGAGCGGCAGCTTCGGGGTCCTCGGGCGCACCCTTGTTGGCGAAATGGGTGAAGGTCGGGTCGGTTTGAACAAGCTTGGTGGCTTGGTAGCTGGTAGGCTCGGCTTGACGACGAGGAACCGAGGTGGCTATCGAGCGGGAACGAGGAATGGATGTGTTGAGCGAGGAGGGGCGGAGGCAGAGCCTTTTGGGCGCATTGCCCGCCAGGCGAGCGAAAGATGCGGCCATGGAGGATGGAGAGTAGAGGGTCCTAGAGGGAAAAGAGGGGAGATGATCCTCAATCCAGCCGCATTCAATGGGTGGAGATGGCTCGCTACGGGTAGGAAACCTGGTGAACGAAGTTGGGAGTCGCGCATTTTGGGACATCACGTGCCGAGCTGCTTGGGTCATCAGCCGTGCGTTGGTTGGCCTATGAGGGTCACTATACTGTGTTGGTGTTAGTGTTGGACTAGGCTGTATGTGGCTTAGTGTCTAGCATTTTCACATAAATGATTATGTAACCACCTCCTGCAGCACACGGAATAAAGACCATCTGCTGCCTCAGGCCACACAGAAAATTGCTTCGAGAAATTCCTCTTATCGGTGATCGCGGACTTTACCTTCAACCTTCACCAGACTCACATACTGCCCACCATGGCGCCTCTTGTCCCTTCGCAGGAGGAGCTGCAGCGTCGCCGTGTAAGCTTAAACTCCCATACTACTCAATTTTCAATACTAATGGTCTCAGATCATCGGCATCAACCCGGAAACCGTTACCAACATCCCCTCCACAGATTTTCCCGGTCATTGGCCAGGTGAGTCGCATGAGTGGGCGCTCGATACATTCAAGAATGTAAGTGCTGGATTTTCAGAAGCAAGCTACAATTGCTGGATTGAGCCCATCTAACGATTATAACGAACAGGGCTTCCAGGTCGAGTTCCACCGCAATGACCGGTTCGAGTCTTCCTTCTCGCTAATTGGACTCGACGCCGCCGTCGCCAATGCTTTCCGCCGTATTCTCATGGCCGAGATCCCGACCATCGCCATCGAAGACTGCTTCATTCACAACAACACTTCGGTTATTCAAGACGAAGTCCTCGCATCACGACTGGGCCTGATCCCGCTCAAGGGTTCCGTGGAGGGGATCAACTGGATGCACTGGGTCAAGAAGGAATCAGACGATGAGCCCGGCAGCGGTGCTTGTGATTTCAACACCATTGTGCTCCGCCTTGACGTTGAGTGCTATAAGAACGAGTACGCGGACAAGGACGAACAGGACCCCCGCAAGCTCTATACCAACGCCCACGTCTACGCCAAGGACCTCATGTTCCACCCAGTCGGTCGTCAGGAGGACTTCTTCGTCGGCGACGGTGCCATCGCGCCTGTCAACCCGGATATCTTGATCGCCAAGCTCCGGCCCGGCCAGAAGATCGAGATGGAACTGCACTGTGTCAAGGGTATTGGTGCTGATCACGCCAAGTTCTCTCCTGTCGCTACCGCGTCGTACCGCCTCCTCCCCGATATCAAGATCGAGCGTCCCATTATCGGCGAAGATGCCAGGAAGTTTGCCAAGTGCTTCCCTAAGGGAGTGATTGGCCTTGAGCCTGTTACCGCCGCTGAGGCTGCGCGCAGTGGAAGCGGGTACGAGGGCCATGCAGGAGAGCAGAAGGCCGTTGTGAAGGATGCGTTCAAGGATACCGTCAGCCGAGAGTGCTTGCGCTACGATGAGTTCCAGGGCAAGGTGAAGCTGGGACGGGTGCGGGATCACTTCATCTTCAATGTGGAGAGCACCGGCCAGTTCGAGAGCGATGTTCTCTTTTTGGAGGCCGTCAAGGTGCTGAAGTTCAAGTGTGCTCGTTGGAAAAGGGGTCTGACCGATTTGATGGCTTAAGCAATCGGTCTTCCTGTCTGCTGCACCCTATTTTATGCATTATCTGGCGTTGGATATATCTACTGCGTTTGCGCTGTACATTTACGAAAAGTTCGGTCAGGGCTTCGCTTCACGAGGCTGGAGTCTTGATATGGTAATTGTCTTGGAAAAGAGAAGACCTATAACTATCTTGGAATTCCACATATTTAACTAAGGCTAAACATGATTCTGGTCATGGGTTATATGATTTTCGTGATCTTGCATAAGGCAAGTGAACTTAGTTGAAGTTAAGGCGGAAACGGAAGTCGATGGTATAGGCCGAGTCACTGACAGCGATCTCCTGGCCATCCTCGATCAGCTCTTTCAGCTTGAGTGACAGGTTAGGTCTAGTCCGTTCCTCGAGCTGAGGTGGGAAGCGCTGATACAGGGTCTTCTCTTCAGTCCGCATGCTAGGCTTTTTCAGTTGAGACTCAGCCTTCTCGCCGAGGCTTTCAATGAAATCGCCCAATGTCATGTTAGGATCCACATCCATCTTCCGAGCAAGATTTCCGCAGACAGGACAGTCGGCCTTCTTCTCCGCCTCGAAAGTATAAGTATAGACTCCTTCCTCGCCGGCGTACATCATGTAGTTATTCAGATAAGGATTGCAAGAGGTAGCAATCTTGAGCACCTCTGACGTGGTAGACGCGGCAATTACGGCATTGGTTGAAGCGATCGCTGGGATGATGTTCTTGACCACACCCTGGGTCATTTGGAAGGTGACACCGTGGATGTGGAACTGTTGCGCTCGTTCATGAGCAGCATTGTATACCCATGAGATGTGCTCCATGTCATCACTATCAAAGGTATCATCTTTTCGCTTCTCTTGCCATGCGATTTGGTGCGCCCATTCGATGCAGTGTTGAGGCTGGCGTGGAATGGTGGCAATGGTGCAGAGAGGAACTGCTGGACGAGGAGCATGCATATCAAGTTGGCACTCAATGCATGACGAGAGTGTGGGTAGGATGACACGGGCTTGGCCCTTGAATCCTTTTTGGCTGTTCAGAAACATGCTTTTTGACTCGAGTTTGGTAATGGGGCCATACCTTCTGTTCCGCCATCGATCAGGGGCTTCAAGCTCTCAGGATCCTCCATATCGACCATCGAGATCAGTGTAGAGTTAATCCAGCGCCGAGCTTCGATGCTGTCCAAACCACAAATGATAATCTTAAACTGCATGTAATAATCTTCATCTTTATCTTGGATCTTGCCGACGTAAGGTGTGATGGTGACACCCTTGACTCGCTTTTGGACAAAAGCGGCGGCAACCTCAGCTTTGGGCTTACCGATATCTGCCTGGCGGAAGAGGAACTGCCGGTTAAGATTCGATATGTCGATGGTATCTGTTGGTATGAGCATCTAGTCTTGGCTCAAATGGCTTAGATTGGAAGCACATACCCATATCGATGACATGGATGTCTTTGAATCCTGACAGAGCCAGGTTCTTCAAGATTTCGCATCCTAGTCCACCAGCTCCACTGTATTGAAGTCAGTTGTCTGTCAATAAAATACCAATCATGCGATATGGACGAACATCACCCTGTGGTCAACGTTAGCGGAATTCTTGTGTTGGAAAATACAACAACTCACAGGATTTTTGATGACTCCAGAGCATCAATGGTATCCTGGCCAGGGACCCAGTCCTCATCGGCAAAAGGGCCAGGCTTGCTCAGGACATTATAGAGGGACTTCCTGTGGGGCATTAGAGAGTGTCTGATCAAGCACCGTCTGACTCGTTCAACTCACCATCGGCTCTGCTCGTTCGTAGCGAATGTAGGTTCCGGGTTCATTTTGAGAATAGTCTTGTTGGGTGATTGAATGAGAGTAGATGATTCCAGGCAGTATCAAGCGTCGTTCCGAGTGTCGATGATCAACACAAGACTGCAACGAGGAACAAATAAAGGCAAACCTCTTGTGAATAATCTTCTCAGTTACAAACACTCTTTGACTCTTCCAAACGACAAGAAGTATGCAGGTCACTCACAACAAACTGGCTGCAAGTGACAACGCCGGTGGGCAGGAAGACCGATTGGCGTCACGTGCACCGCCCGCATACTGGAATCTTCACCTCCACCCTTCATCTCCTCAGGCCTTCTTCTCGAAAATGGACGATCTTTTGACGGCAGTGAAATCTGTCAGGCGGGATCCTGAATTCTCCCTGACACCCGTTACCACAGTCCAGAGCGAGGATGTCTCATCAAAACACAACTTTGACCTCGATAATCTATCAGCACGTCACATCATAGATCTACTGAAGTCCAATCCTGATCATGACCAGGTATTTGCCGCTTTGACAGTTCTTGATCCTTTCAGCAAATCCAAAGCCACAAAGGACTTCGACCTCCGAATTGCCAGTCCTGTCACAGCTCAGATTCTCCAAGTGTTAGTCAGCACCACGATTCCAGATCATTGGAGATTGCTGGATACCAAAGACAGCAAAGGGAAAGATGCCAAAGCTCGAGCAGCGCTGTTGAGATGTCTGAGTAACATCACAGGACTTGGTGCCTTGGTGGCTCAAGTACGACACCTGATTAACATTGCCCGCGCTTCCGCCCAAGAAGCTCAGGGTTCGAGCACCCCACTCGTCATCAAAGACCTGTTAGCTGTCCTCGCTGCTTTGTTAGAACCAAAGGAGTTTTTGCTGCGTCTCTCGACGGATATCTCGGCAGTCTCTGGCAACAAGGTTCGGCAGCAAATTACGTGGAGAGAGCTTGTCTCGCTTGTCGCCGCCAGCAAAATTCTATCCACAGCAGCTGAAGCTCTCACTGTTGTTGATGAATCGAGTTCTTTATCGTCGATATCCTGGGTGGGGACCGGATCTCAGTATGCGTCATGGCTTGGCCGCAACATCTCTCACATGACGTTGAAGCTCGCTCCCGATAACGAAAGCGACTGGGCCTCGGTGGCTTTGTTGACCGGGCGAGCTCTGAGCCTCGGGTACACCGGTAAGCTTGGAATGATGATCGCGATGTGGACTCAAACTAACACCGGACAGATCAATTGATCAAAGAGATTTATTCGGGTCTGCTTTTTGAGCAATGCTCGCCGCAGTCTTTTGGCCTCCTCCTCGACCATCTCAAACAGGCAGAGCAGCTTTCACTTTTAGAAGCAATCTTCCGTGATGTTCAGCGGAAGCACTTTTCCGACGATCTGTCCGGCTCGATGGGTCAGTCAGCTACCTCTTTGGAGACCATCAAGGGAGTGGCAGCTTTGTGCTCCCTTCTTATTTCTAATCGACCCGACTTGCAAAGCCATGTTATTGAATGGCTCTCAAAATCGCAAGGCGGTTCAATTAGCACGTTAGGCTTACGTCGTGCGCTATTGGCTTCATTCAGTAGCCATGCTGGTAAGTTTTGTCGTGTTGCTGGAGAGGTCAGACACTAACATCCTAGTAGATACGCTGAAGCAACTAGTCCTGCGCAGCCTGGGAGAATTTGGCGACAAGTTCTCTATCAAGCATATCCCTATCGTTGTTCAAAATGGTACGTCGGAACTCGTGTTTCGTTTATCGGTTGTATTCTAACGCCATCTAGCCATTGCACAAGTGATCCTTCTTGCCGTAGGGCACCTTCATCGATTAGATCCAGCACGAGTGGTGGAGATAGGACGCTCAGGAGCATATCTCAACGCAGTCTCCAATCGACTTGCTGCTTCCTCGAACAGAGCACGGCTTTTGGGCATGATTGTTGGAACAGGCATATCTGAGCTCATCGAAGAACCAGGTAAGGTTCTCAAATTCGACCTTGAGGAAATGCAGAGCGAGGAAGTCAAGTTGTATCTGAACTTGTCCAAAACCAAGGATGAGAGCGGCTCGCTCGAATCCATCAAGTCGTTGCAAGAAGCGATTCCAGCAAAGTCAGAACCAACTCGCCCCAGGCCTGCACCAAAGCCGAAGGCACCGTCTTCCCGTCCTCAAACAAGCAAAATCGTTGCCATCGAGGAAATTGAAGACAGCGATGAGGCTGAAAATGGAGACGAGGACGAAGATGAAGATCTTATTCCATATGAGAAGCCGGACGATGATGCATATGATTCCGACGATGACCCTACGTTGATCCAACGTAACAAACCAACAGCTCCTGTGTAAGTACTCACTCCATCCTTCGACTGACCGTGCTAACAAAGTCAGGTACATCCGTGATTTGATTACTGGCCTACGAGACACGGAGCATATCGAGCGTCATCACCTCGCCATAACCACAGCTCCATCACTAATCCGGCGCAAGATAGGATTCGGGACTGAACTTGAGGAGCACATCTTGGAACTAGCACTCACTATGGTGGGTCTCCAAAACGACAATAACCACCCGCAATTCCATGAATCCCGCCTACAAAGCATGATTGCATTAATCGTGTCCCAGCCACTCAAAATGGGCCGCTGGTTCACTGCGATCTACTTCGATGGAGACATCTCCCAAGTCCAGAGATCGGCTGTTCTTACAGCCTTGGGTCTGAGTGCCCGTGAGATAGCGGGTAATGGAGAAGATGACGCCAAAGCGCTTAACCTACCAAGTACTGGCGATACCTCATTTCCATCCAAGAGGCTGCCGCCTGCCCTGGAAGCCTTGTATCTGGGCCAAAATGATTCTCCCATCGCAACGCTCACCCGAGAAATGTCTCGCGCATCCTTGGAGCCACTCGCAGCCAATGCGGCAGACGCAATGACCGGCCCAAACGCTCTCAAAGTGCGCACCTTCTCATCGCGCATGGAAGTCGAGAAGAAACGCCAGCAGCGTGATGCCAAACGCCAAAATGCCACAGTAAAGGATCTACACAAAGTGCTTGCTGAAGGATTCTTCTTCCCAATGCAAGGCAGATTCGAAATGATGATGCTGCAATTCTCATCGTATGTCACATACCTACACCCGCGTCCCATTGAAGAATACACACTAACCTCACCACCCAGCTCCTCCTCCCCTTCCTACAATCCATTCTTCATCCCCCACCTCCTAACCCTCTTCCTTCAAACACTATCTCTTATCCTCTCGACGACAGGCCCCCACACCCCCTTCCTCCCAGGTCTAACCCACGAAACCCTCTCCCTCCTCTTATCCCTCCACACAGCAGCAGCATCCAACGAGCCCACCGTAACTGCGGCACTCCTTTCTCTCTTCCTCGCCATAGTCGATCTGAACATCGCATCTGGCTCGAACGGCGAGGAACGTCTGGTTACACAGTATGCGTCACAGGTGATTGAGTTGCGCGAGTGGGCTTCTCAGGTCTTTGATCGGACTCCGGCTTCTTCTGCTAGGGCTGGTCCTACTTCTGCCGTTACCGATCCGCAGGAGCAGGTGCGTACTCTTTCTGCTGGTGTTATGGTTCGGCTTGGCGAGGTTATCGAGCGGTATCAGGGGCGGCTGATGGGTGTTCATTCTGGGTTCAACTACTAGTGGTTGTGGTTGTTGATATCGAGAACAGTTCTCATGGCCTATGATCTACGGTATCTATCCTATTCTAGAACCATGAGCGTTTAGTTGAATATTCCATTCTGAGGGAGTCGGACATATGTCCCAACTTCAGAACCTTTGCTGATATCAAAATATTGTATCATTATCACTATTTATCACTACCTAAGCCTTAATCGAATCACTCCGCCTTAGCAAAGCTACCCTTCTCAATAGCCGCCTCCATCATCCGATCACCACTAATAATACTAGTAGTGCAGATAATAATCTTCCGCCGCGGCGCCTCCTGAGCAGCAATGAACCGAAGCGCCGCAATTTCGGTAAAGGTAATACCACCCAAGAAGAAAACATACACAGCCTTAGTAGCAGAATTACCACTCAAAGTCTGGCGCGCCCTAACCGCCTTATCGTCACCTTTCTGCACAATGCTAAAGGTAGCCCCACGAGCGCTCTTAACAACATCCTCGAAACCAAGCCAGCCAGGAGAAGTCGTATTGGCAGTATTCAGCGACGCGGCGGGTGAACCACCCTTGATAAGCGAGAGGATGTACGGTTTCTGCAGGACACATTGAACCAGACGGACACTGAGCGGCGCGAATCCACTATAGACGTATGAGATATCGTTCGGGTCTTTCTCGCTTACTTCCTCGATAACGAGACGGAGGTTCTTGCGCAGGTATCCATAATTTGTCTTTGTGCCTGCTTGCGCGCCGGATGTAGGGAGGAGCATGGTCGTTGCTGAGGAACGGGGCTGGAGAAGTTCCATTTTCTCTAGGGCCCAGAATGTGAGGAGGTGTTGGTGGCCGTAGGCTTGCACGACTTGTCTTTTGAAATTCTCTAAATCGCGTGGGCGGAGACCGCCTGACATGCAGGATTCCAGACATAGGAGTCGTAAGACAGTCTTCAATGGGACGTCTCGGGCGATAAGCTCTTCGATAGTCTCGTGCTGATATGTGGAGTCGGCGCCTGCTGCGTTGTTCTGCTGGACTTCTAGTGATTTGCGGAAGGTTTCAGATCGGGTGAGTCGCATTATCTCCTCTGCGAGGTTGGTGTGGGTTCGAAGACTTTGGTGTTCCAGCTGGTAGGTCGGTAAGCGTTGGACAAAATCTCGAAGCTCGACTGTTGTTTTGGCGGTATGGCGGCTTTCGTATTCATTCTCCAGGCGACGCGCCACCTTATTCAGGATATCACCCACGATGGCAAAGTTAGCGTCTCGGAGCTGACTGAATAGTTGGTCGGAGGCATCGAGCTGGATCTTCCTTTTTAGACCCTGCTTCGCTTGTTGGGGCGACTTGGATGATTCTTGAGACTGGGGTGTAGGTGCAGGCCCTACGATGCTTGTATCAACATCTGCTTGGTTGTTCTTGATACCGACGTATTCGTCAATTAAACCTTCATATGTGAGCTGCGTGAGAAGAGCTGTGCCAAAGTCCACATCCCGGTCAATGATGATCAAGTTCTCTACACTCGCACTTGGCAGGAGTCCTCGTGCAGATGGATCGGCTAATCCGGAGCTCTCTTCGGCATCAAGCTCCTTTCGCATGCGCAATAATAGATCTGCTAGACGACGGGCATTGTCGCCTTTTCCAACAATGCGTGGGAAGTAGCCGTGACGCTGTTGAACGCCCATAAGAGCCTTCGCGGCATGGAATATGCATCCTGGATCTTTGTGCTGTAACATGTCAGAAATGTCATCACCAATCGTCAAGTCACGTACCAAGTAAAGATCACCAAATGACTCGTCTAGCTCTAGCGACAGGATATCCTGTTCCAGGGGCATAAAATAGAGAGGCAACTCGGCGATATTCACGTCGCCGATGATACCCGCCTCCTCCAGAACCGCATTGCTCACAAGAGTCCGCCTGGGAGCGAAGAAGATAGAGAATTCATGTTCAACGTTGCCATTATTCTGCAAGCGTTTGATTTGTTCTAGAACGAAATGTCAGCTCGTCCTGATGGCACTCATTCGAAGGAAGCGGGAAAGAACGCCAATGAAACAAGCCAGTAAGGACATGAAAATGAAACATGTAAATCAATATAGGGACATTTCAATGGACCACATAGAGTAGGAAGCATCTGCGTAATCTCATGATGCCCCATTGCCGAGATATTGAACCGAACAAAGCAGAGTATAAACATGAAGTAACCATACCTGCCACAATTCGAACGTGGTGAGCTTTCTCGCCACGAACCAGGAACACCACATTGCGTTGTGATGAGTCGATGTTTGCATTTTCCAGCAGGAAGACCCGGTCCACACCATACTCCTGGAGCACTGAGAATTTGACAAACAGCCCGACTGGACCAGCCAGCTCCTGGCTTATGACGAGGTTCTTCTTACCCCGGGTCTGGACAGTAGTTAGCGCTGATCGCCGGAAATTCAAGGGGAACTCACGGCTTCGAGTAAAGTCAGCAGATCCCTCCTGGCCTTGTCTCTAAAGTGATCAGCATCAGACCCCATCTCTTCTTCCCAGGCAGCAGAACAGCCAGAAATAGCCCAAGTGGCCAAAAATAAACAGAAGGTGAAGTGCCACTGCGCCCGCATGCGGTTTAGTGCACTGCCACTGCTGATGTAACAGGTATTGGTATGGTCATGTATTGAATGTTTGGAAATTACTGCTGTGTACCGTTGGTATGTAACTTACCATCAGGCGGCGTTCTCGACATTGAAGACTCCCCTGAAGGCGTCTCACGTTTTGAGTCTTTCTCTTTCGGTCTCACCTCTTCCTTTCTTTTCTTTTCTTCTCTTCTCTTGTTCTTGCGCTCTCACTTCTTTTAATTCATCAATTTATCCTATCTGTCATCATGGGTCTGTTTAAGAAATCCGATGGCGACGACGACTCCAGCCGCCGAGCACTCTTCGGCTCGCGCAAGAAGGACAAGAGCCCAACTCCCCCTACCAACCCTTACGCCCAACCAATTCCAGTAGACCCCTACACAAAAGCCAAGATTGGCGCCGGTGTCGCCCCCTTACCTGCCGACCACCCCGCCGCCAACGGAGGCCCCGCGTCGAACAGCCCGCATAACATCCCCTCCGACAACAAGTACTCTTCCGGGTACACCGCCAACCGCTTCGGCAACCAGGGCGGCTATGGCAGTGACCGATTCGGCTCAAACAGCGCAGGCGCTGGCAGTTCGGCCTCGGGATCGAACTCGCGGTATGGAAACGGTGGCTACGGCGGTCTGGGCAGTTCGGATCCCAATGACCCCGCGGCTGCGGATGCAGCTCGCAGCGAATTGTTCGGAGGCGTTAAGAACCGCACCCCGGAGAATGGACCCGGCAATGCGCCCCCGCCTTACTCTGAAGGTCAGGGCCCGGCGAATAACTACGGTGGCGGGAGCAACGAGTACAGCATGGCGACCTTCCAGGACCGCCAGCTGACCGCGGAGGAAGAGGAGGAGGAAGAGATCCAGGGCGTGAAGCAGGAGATGCGGTTTGTCAAGCAGGGTGATGTGGCGTCTACGCGGAATGCACTCCGTGCCGCTGCACAGGCTGAAGAGACCGGTCGCGCCACATTGGCCCGTCTAGGTGCCCAGGGCGAGTCGATCCACGATACCGAAAAGAATCTGGACATGGCGACCATCGAGGGCCGCATTGCCCAAGAAAAAGCCAGGGAACTCAAGACGCTCAACAAGAGCATGTTCGCCGTGCATGTAGCGAACCCATTTACCGCCTCCCGGCGTCGGCGCGAGCGTGATGAGAAAGTTCTCAACACACACCGCGAGGAGCGTGATATCCGTGACGGCACACGGTCCGAGGCGCACTCCACCAACCAGCGTATGGACCGGGTGTTCCGTGATATCGAGCGCGATGCGAGCAAGCAGGGCAAGGGCAAGAAGGCCAGTGTTACCGAGCGTGCCAAGTACCAGTTCGAGGCGGATAGCGAGGATGAGGCGTTGGAGGATGAGATTGAACAGAACCTGGATCTGCTCGGTGGCGCCACTGGCCGTCTGAACGGTCTTGCCAAGGCTACTGGCAAGGAGTTGGACGAGCAGAACAGACATCTGGAGCGTATCATGGGCAAGGTGAGTTTTTCCAGATACCTCAGGATGCTTTTGAACGTGAGACTAACTGTCTGCAGAGCGATTTCGTCGACGATCAGATCGCCATGAACCGGGCGAAGTTGGACCGTATTCACTAAAGGTGCCATTATCAATGGAGCTGCGATATGCCTGGTGCTGTCGAGCTCAGTAATTACATTGTGCTCTTTCCATTGGCATAGATCACAAATTGGCGTTGGGGTGGTCCTGCATCTGCTTGTTACGGTGTGAAACTCGACTAAGGCTAGGAGTAATAAGAATATTTGTTGAATATCGAATATTATAATTTCATTGCTATCATTGTATAACAAGTTTCTTCGTAGGTGATGGGTATGCAATAGCTAGATTTTATCACTGTCCCGTCCGATTGCCTGAACATTTAACACCGAATTTATGTCCAATGCAACTTATGTCTCCCATGCAAGCTACGATCGACACTCCAACTGCGGGGAGTGGGGAACGCGGAGAACCGAAGCCCTAAAATGTGCAGTGTCTATCATGAACACTGAAGCCAACATTCACATCTCACACATATCCCCCATGCAAAACCGTAAGCAAAAAAAAGAAAAAGACATCCTAATGATAGGCAGCGAAAACGTACTCAGACCCTTTCAGTTCCCCAACCTACCCAACCACAACGACAATCTTAATAGAAAGCTCCCCCGAATTCTAGACATTCGAATTTTCACATCGAGGGCCTTCCACACAATGTAGACCTCCCTTATAGAGTTGCCACCATACCTTCATAGACCTAACCTATGAGCGAATTGCCTCATAAGCCAAACCCGTTCCTCAATCTCCATCCACGATCCCGATCCTACAGTAACAATAGTGAAAAGCAGCATCAAATCCTAAATTTCCTACAACCAAGTATGCGAGTACTCAACAGCTTCACCTTCTACAAGGAATTATGATAAAAACACAAGATAAGAGACAAAAGGACTAGCAAAAGGAAAAAGCATATATGGGCGTCGTATACATAGCAGGTGTAAAAGTAAACTCTGATACACCAGCTATAGACCTAACTACAAAACTCAAAGTGACTCTATAACCAGCGCAAAATTCGTTATTACCGGACATTAGCCTACCATCTAAATCCCAAACCAAGCATAATCCTCCCAGTGCGCGAAATTGAATGATACAAAAGCCAGGTATCCGCTCTGGGGTACAAGGAGTGAGGTTTAGCCCATAGCTCGGAGAGGGGAATCGGCGCACAATGAACAATTTTGTGATCTCATGTTGCTCAGTCTCAAGAGGTTCGTAGGCCGGCGTAGGAAACATACGGCTCAGTGTGACCCCAACCACCATCCACCATTCTAATCCCCATGATGAATGTATCGCATCTATATCTTCTCTCCTTGTTGATGCGGGGATCCCTCTTCATAGCGAGGAGCTGTATCATGAAATCAGTCTGGACCTCGTCGGAGAGAACCTGGTTCGCCCAGATCAACGAGACTGCAACCCTGACCATACTGTGAAGTGTGTGACACTCCGGCAGAGGCAGCTTTAGCACGCAGTGCACCTCACGCTGGCGAAGGAGGAAGATCATTAAAATCCTCCAGGCGCGCAGTTCGGGTAGGGGACGATGGGGAAGCATGTCAAGTTAGCGAACAATCACTCTGTCACTTCAGTATTCAACGCATCTAGTCTGGATATCAGCTGCCTCGAAAACCAAACAAGCAGTATGGTCGTACCTCCATCCTCTCTTTGATTATGGAAGTCTCACGGAGAACCTCTCAGGAACCAAAGACAAGTCAGAGCGTGACGTGGATCATATTATTAAGATACTGGCCGGCGTGGCAAAGGTCAAAAAGGCCCACTGTATGAAGGTGTGGACTCGGAAATCAGCGCGGTGAATGCTCCAGATCAGGTCGTAGTGGTCAGCCATGTGGATAGGATAAGCATAGTGTATAAGAGAGGACAATCAGCATCATGAAGGAATAAAGGATGCGCTCAGGCTGAAACTGCTTGGCGACTGGGTACTCAACAAACCGATAATAGGAGGAGGCATGAGGATACCAGCCAACGGGTAGAGGGTGAGGTGGAGAGTTGAAAATGAGGAAGAGCTGAAAGTAAGTGGAAGTTCGAAATAGAACTTGATTCCTATATTTACGAGAAAACTTCCGAAATCAAGGGTTAGGTGAGGTCGCCGGCGACGTTTGGTAGAAGCTAGTATTACCTAGGGCATATCGTGAGAGTTAAGGGTGTATTGGTTGGGAAGCTAACTAGGATATGCGAGAGGGTTGAACTTTCTAATAAGAGGGGATTAATTCTGGAAGTTAGGTTGTTTCAATGATTCTATTCATATGGTTAATAAGGGAGCCTGCGTGGTTAGGTTAAGGGAGACTAAGGTTAGTCGTTCCTAAGTCGGTTTAGGCTTCGCCTATTATCGGCCGCCGTTTCTGTTTATGAATCCTGTTTAGATTGGGGAGATACTAGGGGCTCTTTGCGATAATGATCCTTAGGGGTTGATTTGACTGCTAGAGCTGTGTTTGGGCGTCGTGCTACGAGGGCGGGGCGAGTTAGGGCTGACATAGGATGGATGTTTTGGAGACAGCTTGATGGCTGTAAGGAAAGGGTGTCAAAGGTAGATTAACAAGGCACAGGAACTACAGTCATTGTAAAAATAGTTTGGAGGTTTGTCTCAATAGATTAGACAATATAGTTATACTATAGCGACAGTGAGGCAAACTCAGCCGGCCACAGCTTAGTTAACAAAAAAGAAATTTAACAATGCTTCACCTATGCGGGTATATCATCAACCAACACCAACCCAAAAACACTAGAACCTGTCATCGCTCAAACGTAACTCGGTGGAAACAATCAACGACCCTGAAAAAAAAAACAGACACAAAGCCCCAAGCTAGAGCTAAAGGGCGGCATATATTGAAAGGAGGCAAGGGGCCAATAGTGAAAGGTTAAAAATTTGTGTAAATGTAATAGGTCTAACCCATGCAGGACACGCCATGCAGGCTAGAAGATTAAGAAGAAAAAATGAACAAGTGCAGTAAAGTAATGCAGCCTGTACAAAATGGGGAAAGTAATAAGTAGAAGAGAAAAACCAGACAGAAAAAAAGGGTCCCAGAAGAAAGCAGAAAGCACATCGCATCATCACAAGCCCATGGTATCGAAAAACAGCAAAAAGGTGACGCCCAGGTCTAGCGAAAGAATAAGAATGAAAATAAAAACCAGGAACGCATATCCAGCCGGTACCTCTATGGTCGTAACGTGGGTCAAACAAAAGAAATAATGAAAGGGAAAATGGAAAAAAGGACTCTCTCTGCCCAAAAAAAAAGAAAAGCTCGAACCGAGCCGGATATTCCCAAAGCAGTCCTTTTGAAAAAGGGGTATCAAGGAGTTCTCTCTCCGATTGGTAAATGTATCCGGAGTGAAATAGAGAATAGAAAATGTGTGGTCCATGCTGTTGTACAAGGAGACGAGAAAGCCCGAGCCACTAATATAGCCATGCCAACGCAGTTGGATCATGGGAGGGACTCGGGGGGTAAAAGGGGAAACGGTTCTGCGGCGGGATAGGCAATTTGGCGCCTTGAGCGCATAGTAGTTCGAGGGAGAGAGAGCACGCTCAAAGGGGTTGACAGCTTCGAGTAGAAAGAATAGAGTCAGATCGTATGGAGAACGAGATTACTCGTCGTCGTCGCCGGAGCCGGCGTCCTTCTCGCCCTTGTGGACCTTCTTGTGTCGGCGCAGATTTGACACGACGGAGAAGTGCCGCCCGCAGCCTTCAACATCACAAGCAAACGCTGCACTTTGTTAGTATCAGTGTTTTAATGCGAATATCTGGGTAAACTCACGCTTCTCGCCAGTGTGGCTGTACATATGTGTTTGCAACGAAGATGGACGCGTGAAGCGCTTGTCGCACACCTTGCACTTGTGCTTCTTCTGGGTGTTGGAGGGCATCTTGGAGCTGAACTGGCTCATCATGGACTGAGGGCCTGGGGGAGCACTGCCGGCCAAGAGGCTGGTTGGTCGCGGGAGAGTGCGCGACTCGTAAGACTCGGAAGTTGTGGAGCTGTAGTCTGTCACGGAGGAGTCGACTGAGCCGACCGAGGCGCTGTAGTAGGGGTAGTTGCCGCCGGAGGAGATAGAGGAGGTTGAGGAGTGCGTCGAGGGGAAACCGTAGGAATCGGCTGAGCCCCGCGCACCGCGAGGGCCAGGGCCGTAGATGTTGCGCGGTGTCAGGTCCTGGCTGAGAGCGACCATTCCGCGGCTTGCATCGAGCGCATCACCAAAGGTGGGTGCGGATGCGGGTGAGGGGCCAACGCGGGCATCTCTATATACAGTGTTAGAATTGGTTTTCCTGCGCGATTCGAGTAAATCAAGATTCACTCACGAGTGCGAAATGCGACGGCTGTCTGTGGGCGAGGGGTGGATTGGTGCGTAGCTGACAGGCGCATAGCTAGCCGGCGCGTAACTGCTCATAGGCGGGGCAGTGGTGTAGGAAGGTGCATGGTCGAACGTTGTGCGCGGCACCTCATGTTGCATGCCCATCACCTCTGGGCCATAGCCGGTCGCGTAGGTGCTTCCTGGCACCATTGACGGCGCGGAAACTGGGATGCTGGGGTATGGCATGGACATGCCAGGGCGGTTCACCTCCTCCTTGATGGGCAGGCTAGCGCCATTGCCCATGGAGGTCGCGTAGACTGGAGGTGTCGAGTGCGATGTAGAGTGTGCCCAAGGATCCGTGAATTGCGGTGGATTGTGGTAGACGCTGTCGAAGCTCATGCCGCCATAAGGGCGGTTCTGGTTTTCCATAACCATCGTCATGGAGGATGTTATTGTGAAGGATATAGATCGTCAAAAGAGAGAGTGATAGACCCGATGATCAGAAAAAGTAGAAAGTAGTCTGGGGAAGGGGATCGGCGAAGCTTATGAAGGGGACAATATAGCAGTGCCACTGACGACGTCCCGTCGGGGGTTGCAGATCCATACGTGTATTGTAATTCTTTTTTATTTATTTTATTTTATTTTCCCTTTTTTTATTTCTCTAATTTACCTTTATTTTATTCCTTATTTCTTACTCTTATTTTATTCCTTATTTTATTCCTATTATTCTGATTTTATCTTCTTCCATTGTCCTCTATTTCTATTCCATCTTACTATGTCTCATAGTTCCTTATAGTCTACACTAACCAGTACGGGGATACTTTAAATATATTAATTGCTTAACCTGGCTGTCTAGTGCCAGGTAAATACACACCAGTAATAATCCAAATAAGACCAAAAACAAGACTCAAGGGGGGAATGCTCTGTGCCGTGTCTGAAAAAAGAAAAAAAAATGCCCCAAAGACCGAAAGAGACGCCAAGAATAACACCACGGTTCTCCTCTGTTTCAAGCCAGCGGGGCTTCTTGTCAATGGGTATACCCGTGCCGTTAATATGAGTCTTCACTCTGTGAACACGTTCGATAGTGGGCGGGCCTCGGAATTTGGGCTTAAGCCACAGCTTTGACACGGCACAGAGGGGGTTTAGCGTGTCTGCGCGACCATCTCCCTCCCCCCCCTCCTTCGAAATCACTAGCTTTTAGCATTATTGACTACATTCTAATCCCCAAGATGACGACTGACATCTTCAAAGGGTTTCGAATCCCAGTCTCCATGTGGAGGATGTACAGTGCGTATAATCCACTCCAACTCCACCCGGGAAAGTGAGGACCAGACTTTGTTTTCTCTCGGACTATGTCCGCAGATGAAAATACGAGGCGTGCCAACCATACAGCCATACAGTAAAACGTAGACAGCCCTGCAGGATTATATGCTATTACCCGGGGCATGCGAGCTGTATCACATAGAACGCAAATCAAGTCCTGTGACGATAAGGGTCGGCAGAGCTATCTGCCATCTCGAGGACACTAAGACGTCACAGTGGGCTGTACTGTAACCCGCCATGGGGGGGCATGGGGGGGTGCATGGGGGTAAAGGTAAAGGGCTTTGGGCAAATTAGCGGCGGCTGCGCGGTTGATGCGACCGAGGCCTAAATCGGACATATCACACCCTTGACCCTTTTCTTTTTCTTTATTTTCTTTATTTTTTTTAATTTCTCCTTTCCCCTTTCCATACTACTCCTATTTACAGTTGTAATTCTCTGGGCATAGGTATAGTGGAACCCTCTACCAGTTCGGGAACTATAGAAGGTCCCCGAGTGTTGGGTTCCCGAAATGAATATCACAAGGTACCAGATTTAACAGCCGAGGAAATGCTGAAGAACCGGGAACACGCCCAATCACTGTCCAGGGTCCAGAGACTAATAGGGCTCCCCCCACCATTTAGCCACCGGGGAGGAGGAACAACGCAACAAGTTAGACGGAAGTATATCTGTTGGAGATCATCAGGTGCTCTCCCGGAAAGATACCGAAACACATCCAACCGTGGACGCGAGAGGGAATGAGGCTTGCCACTGCGGAGAGCCTTCCATGGCTTTGGTTATATTCACCTGACTTCTCCGCATTCCCTGCTTTTCCAGAAAAACTTAGAGATGTGATTCAGGTAAAGAACGATGGATAACCATGGATGCGCCGGGGTTTGCCTGTGGCAACAAAGATAGGCAACCATGGATCGAGGGAGTGTACGTCGAGACCATGGGTCTGCAAATGCCGGTTGGAGTCCCGATTAAGTTTTCTTTACAATATCTACCTTTATTCGCCCAAGTCGGAAACTTACCGGGACAATAGAGAGTAGCTAGCTCTCTGTACTCTCCAAAACCCGACACAATGGTCTCAGGTCTCGCCAAACTTCCGGTATAGGGTGGACATCCAGCCCAAAACCCGTCGGGTACCCATGTCCACAGAGCAAAGCAGATTCTGACCCTTTCGAGCGCAACTATGGAGCCTAGAGAAATTACACCTGAGCTACAATCCTCAAAGCGAAAGAG